CATTCAGATATTAGAGGATATGCTTCGCGCATGTGTTATGGATTTCGGGGTTTCTTGGGATCAATTATTTACGCTTGCAGAATTTTCCTACAACAACATCTACTAATTGAGTATTCACATGGCTCCCTATGAGGCATTATACAAGAGGCGGTGTCGTTCGCAAGTTGGTTGGTTTAAGTCGGGAGAGGCTCGATTGTTTGGTACCGATTTGGTTCAGGATGCCTTGGAAAAGGTCAAGATGATTCAAGATCGTCTTCGCATAGCTCAGTCTAGACAGAAGATTTATGCCGATCGTAGAGTTCGTGATGTTGCATTCATGGTTGGAGAGTGGGTTTTGCTTCGAGTTTCACTCATGAAGTGTGTTATGAGGTTCGGAAAGAAGGGCAAGGTGAGCCCTAGGTATATCAGACCCTTTGAGATTCGTGAGAGGGATGGTGAGGTGGCCTACAAGCTTTCACCACCACATAGATTATCAGCAGTTAACCCGGTGTTGCATGTCTCTATGCTCTGGAAGTATCACGGTGATCCATCCCATGTGTTAGATTTCTGCTCAGCCTAATTGGATAAGGATTTGACTTACAAGGAGGAGCCAGTGGCCATTCTAGATGGCACATCCAGAAGTTGAGGTCTAAGATTTATCCTTCAGTTAGAATACAGTGGAGAGGTCAACTGATCGAGGCAGCCATGTGGGAGTCCGAGTTCGACATGCGGATTAGATACCCATACCTTTTCACCAGTTCAGGTACCTTTCTATGTCCGTTCGAGGACGAATGTTTATTTTAGATGTGGAGAATATGATGACCCGATAGGTTTGAGTTTTGGCCTTCATTTCTGAGTTTCGAGACCTCGAATAGATCTGTTTAGAATTTCTCAATTAGCGTGCGTAGTTCGTGTCTTTTTCCGAAAAAATTTTATGTGAAAAATTGAAAAACAAAATATGAATTTTAGCCTTAAAAATAATTTGAGTTGACTACGGTAAATATTTATATAAACAGGATCCGGATCAGTGTTTTGACGGTCCCTTGGGTCCGTATCTTGATTTGGGACTTGGGCGTATGCTTAGAATTGAATTCGTAAGTCCCTATCTTGATTTAATATAATTTGTTGAAAATTGGTAATTTAAAAGTTTAAAGAATTTTTAAGTTTGACCGTAGGTTGACTTTGTTACTACCGAGTTCATATTTTGGTTTTGAAACTTGGTATAGGTTCATTTCACTATTTTATGACTTGTCTACAAAATTTGGTGCAGAGCGGAGTTAATTTGATGTTATTACACTTGTGTGCAGGTTTGGTTTGGAGCCCGAGGGGCTCGGGTGAGTTTCGGATAGGCTACGGATCGAATTTTGGACTTAGAAGGTTGCTTTGTTTTTCACTGTTGCTGATGTCTGGTGTTTTGTTCTTCACGATCACGAAGCTACTCTCGCGATCGCGAAGGGTAACTTGGGCAGATGTGGTTTTTTATTCTACGCGGACGCGGAGAAGTGGTCGCAAACGCGAAGCATAAGAGGGATAACCCTTCGCGAACGCGATGGGTTAGTTGAGGATATGGGGAGGTAAGGGTTGAACTACGTGAACGCGAGCCCAGGCTCGCGAACGCCAAGTTCAGGAGGGACAGGCCATCGCGAACGCGTGAAACCTCTTGCAAACGCGTAGGCCACTAGGTCCGCTGATCTTCGCGACTGCGTCAGGCCCTTAGCGAACGCGAAGAAGCCTTCACACCCAGAGATTAAAAGATCCCAAAGTCGGGATTTATCTCATTTTTCACCATTTACAAGTTTGAGCTCGGCCTATAGGCGATTTTGAAAAGGTTTTTCACCCCAACTTCATAGGTTAGTAGATTTTAACTCGTTTTATTCTATTTCCATCAACACCCTTTGATTTCTAACTTTTAATCTATGCTTTTTCATGCTAGAAATTAGGGAATTGGGTAGAAATTGGGGATTTTGAGAAATTGAGATTTAGACTTTGAGGTCGGATTTCGAAACTAATCAAATAATCGGGCTCGGGGATGAATGGGTAAATGAGTTTTGGTTCGAATCTCGAGTTTTGACCAAGTGGGCTCGGGGTTGACCTTTGTTGATATTTTTCAAAATCATTAAAGACTGAATCTTTTTAACTCGTGGGTAGTTTGTAAAGATTATTTTGAATTGTTTGAACTATATTTGGTTAGATTTGATTGGTTTGGAGGCTAATTCTAGAGGCAAAACCCCGGTTGATCTTTGATTTGATTGCAGAGTAAGGTAAGTATCGTGGTTAACTTTGACTTGAGGGATTAGGACTTGTTAGTCTATTTGCTACGTGTTTTATGTGTGGGAACAACATATATGTGAGGTAATGAGTACTTATACATTATTATTGAGTTAAAGCATGCGAGTGGAACTTGCTTCTTTGTATTTTATTGCGTTGTTAATTATGATATCCATACTTAGGTTAGATTATTACTTCTTTGATTATTTGTTTCGTTATTATTGCTTATTTCATAGTTGTTGAATATTTTTGAAAGTTAAAGTTTGGTATCTTGGCATCATATATGACGTTAAATATATTCTCCGCGTTTTTTATTACTCGAATTCATATTATCATCATTATATGATGAGGAAGAGAGTAAAAGCACGAAGGGTGATGACGTGCCATTGTATTTATATTATTATTATTACATGGTGAGGACGAGAGTGAAAGCACGAAGGGTGATGCCGTGCCATTTATCTCATTTATTTATTATAACATGGTGAGGAAGAGAGTAAAAGCACAAAAGGTGATATTGTGCCATTCATCTTATTTATTCATTGTTGCATGGTGAGGATGAGAGTAAAAGCACGAAGGGTGATGCCGTGCCATTTTATTTTACTTATATCATCATTACATGATGAGAACGAGAGTAAAAGCACCAAGGGAGATGTCGTGCCATTTTCATATCATTGGTTTAACTGATTTACCGGTTGATGAATTACTTGGTTATTTCGTGATTTCGTACATGTCGTAGTTGTTATATTTTTCCCCTTCTTGCATGTCCCCTCCAAGTTTGTACGTTATCATTCTCTGTTATTGTTGCTGCTTTATATACACTTGTACAACTTTATTTACATAGGTATCTTGTCATAGCCCTGTTACTACCTCGTCGAGGTTAGGCTCGACACTTACGGAGTACATTGGGTCGGTTGTACTCATACTACACTTCTGCACTTCTTATGCAGATACTGGTATTGGTCCCAGCAGTGTGTGAGGTGCGTCAGCTCGGATCATTGCTTATGGAGACTCAAGGTAGATCTGTTGGCGTCCGCAGACCTTGAAGTCCCCTTCCTTTTCTCACTTTTACTGTTCATTTCCTTCGAAACAGTTGTATTTATTTCAGACTTTGTTTGTACACGTCTAGTTGCTCGTGTACTCGTGACTCCGGATTTTCGGGAGTAGATATTATCACGTGACTTATACTAGTACTGTGTTAGATTGGGTTTCTATTTCTCGTTGTATATCACCATTGTATTTTTAACTGTCAAAAATTGATTATTTAACTATTTCACGTCGACTTGCCTAGAAAGTGGATGTTAGGCGCTATCACGACCTGAGGTTGGGATTCCATGTCGTGACATTACGAGGTATAATAAATTTTTGCTGCATGTAAGGACCTTTGAATTCTAAATAATTGGTTATATGTAAGCTTTTAGGCTTTGAAGATGACTAATTTAATTATGGTTGATTTAGTAAAAGCTTTAATTAAGCTTTTTATTTAGCTTTTTTCCTCCCTATTTCAGCACATAATAGCTCAATATTTGTCCGATCGCAACAAAACCATACAAGAAAGTAAAACAAATCACAAAATACATTTAAAAAAAGGTTAAATCTCCATGCATGCAATTTCATTATATGCATAGGCATCTTAAGTAAAAAAAAAAATGAAGAAGAGGAGGAAATTACGTATATGTCTTTCTAATTCAAATCGGATCAACTTTCTAGGGTTAGCATATGTGTAGAGCAACACTTTAAGCTGCATATCACCAAAAGTCTAAAACTAATGCAACTTGCAAGCAAAAATTATGAAAGAGGAAATTAAAGTACTTTGGAAAATTTTGAAATGTTTCTTTTAAAAATTAACAAAATCTTGAATTCGTTTGAAAACTTGTTCCTTAAGAACTCCACGAAGTAAACAAATACTGTTTCTAAGTGAAAAAGAAAATGTACGTATATGACTGGTTTAAAAATATGTCACTAAATCCTATTTTAATTTGTAATTAAACGATGTGTCTAACACAAGATGTGTCTAACACAAGAAATTCATTTGATATTGCAACTCGTTGAATTAATTTGTTTTGTTTATTTCATTAGTTGAAGAATGGTGTGCATTGCAAGATTAACTCTACGACCATATAAGAGATTAAGATAAAGGAATAACTCATAGTAGTTTTCTATTAATAATGAGATTGAGTTTGAAAACATTCAAGAAAAAGTTTCATATTTTTTAAATAAACACTTGAAAATTAAAAAAGAAAATCCAAATTAATATTTTTCAAATAATCTGAAACAACGCATTAATGTACCACCAAAGATTGTTGTAAGTGTTAAATATTCTTTCATTTCTAATTAGCGAATTATAAAAGATCTTGATAGAAAGCGCTTTACCTTAGATTGCATTATAATCAAAGTAGGAAATTTCGATGCGAATTTAGTACCCATTTGTCCATGGACATTTTTTTCTTTTTTTCAAAAAATGTGTATGTCCATGAAATTTTGTAAGTTTTTGAAAAAAATTTAAAATTGAGTTTTTCAAAACCACTTTTTCAAAACTTTTTGTTTCTCCGCTTATAAAATTATAATATTTTTTTCAAATAAAATACATATCAAAACATAATTTAAAATTCCAAATACTATTTTCAACTTAACTCCAAATTACTTTTTTTTCAAAAATTACAACTTTTATGTCTTATTAGATTAATCGTGAGTTAGAAAGAAAATAAATTGTGAGGCCAGTATTATTCCACTTAGAAATTTGTGGTAATAAGACAACCAGACATTCCTTTCATGCACAAAACTTTAAGCTTTCCGTCTCCAGACACCATGAAAATACCAACCACTAGAGGCTTAGCTACAAACTCTACAGCTCCATTCTTGAGCAGAATCTCAAAATCAGCTTCAGCACTTAAATGGGTTCCTCAATATCAGCCTTGTTGGGTCGAATTTCGGGTCTCCTTGTCAAACGGGTCAGCTCGTTGCACTAATTCATCAGTTCATGCGTCATCCCCTGCTATTCAGTCGGACTTTAATTCAAACATACTGCATATTCCAAAAGCAAAGTTACAACTTGTAGGGGAAACTGTAGAGAAGGTGAACTATGGTTTTTCGTTTGAATAAGTACACCCTTTGACCCATTTTATGTGATGAAGTTTGTCTGAAATACGGAGTTTAAACAAGAAATAACAATTTTTAAATTTTGTAGTTTAAAACAGGTAATAGATATTCGTGTGACTAATAATTCTCTAACTAAAAGTAAAATGAAAAGTTAAAAGTAATTATTTTAAAATATAGAAATGTTATTCTTTTTTATAGGGCAGATTAAAAAGGAAAGTATGTCAAATAATTATCCCGATTTTCTTTTGTTTTTTCCTTTTCCTTGTAGGTTATATACAGCTGTCGGTTTTTTGCTATTCTTGCAGTCTGGGGTTCATTGATCGGCTCATTTCTCTGTTTTATCAAGGTACTATTTTTATATTTCCATCATTTTATCCTTAATAATTGAAAATCTGATTCATTTGTTTTTGTTTAGTGAAAGTGGATAAGTAGTTTGTGATTTTAAGAGTGATGCCTAAGCTGTACTTACGAGCTAGTTCAAGCAGTTCAGTTTTTTCATCATTGTTGCAATTTGGAACTTTAGATATTCTCTTATGTCGTGTAAATGTTGTCCTATTTTTCTATATTTAGCAGCCTGGAAATCTGGTGTGATTAATGAATCAAGAAAAGAATAAATTATTGTAACATTATTAATTTGGATCAATCAAACTTGTTGGGGACGAAAAACTGTAGAACATTAATCTTTGAGATTGTAAGCTTTGAGTAACCCTGCTCGGGCTACTCTCATGGGGTTAGAAATGAAGACATTAGGCAATACTCACCTCATCAGCTGACTTTTTGGGTTCATTTAGGCCCAAGGGTCATTATCTTCACATGGTATCAGAGCCAAACATATCAATTCATGTTTCTCAATGTTGGGCCCCCATCATCCACGCTTCAAATAAGTCTTGAGTGTGTGTGGGAGTGTTAAGTCTCACATTGGTTAAAGGAATGGGTTGTGATCTCCTTATATGGTCCCGGGGATCCCTTAGTAAGCTAGCTTTTGGGATTGAGTTAGGACTTAGGCCCAAGAGCCATATCTTAACATACCTTCACTCCTTCCCAATTTTGCAAGAATATTTGGTTGATAATTTTGCAAGAATAGTTGGTTGACTATTGATCGATTTTGATTGGTTTTGATAAACGAAATTATGTGAAATGCAAGAACTTTGTAAGATGACGCATCATGAAGACTTCCATGTTGATGGTCTTACATATATGCAGGCTCATCCGTTGAATACATAAAGACTCTTTCCCAGAACTTGACCTCTAAGTTACTATGTAGCCCTTACTTTGCATTAGAACTGTCCTCTACATTGCTATGCTTGAATCTAAGAAGAGAAAGTGTGGTGTATCAGATGCAAAAGTTCAGTTTTGCATTCATCAATTTTTTCTTTCTTTCTTTATTCTCCCTGTGCTTTGAATTCCTGAACAATTTTCCTTGGAGGTGAGATTTCAGCTTAATGGCCAGGCTACACATGTAAGAATTAATGCTTTTTCATAGCACTTTTGAAAGCCTGTCTGAAGAAGACAGAAATTCTACGCCAGATAGTTGTAAAATATAGCATCATTTACCGTAGATCTCCCAGCTCTCCCAAGCTTTGTTATTATTTTGTAGCAAAATTATAGGTGCTTTTTGATGCAATAAATATCAAGAAGGTTTTGCTAAATGATTGTTCTAATTTTTTTTTCATATGTAGGGTTGCACTTATGTAATATCATCATTCCAAGAATACTTCACAAGCCAAGCAAAGGTCATACTGTTTCTTGTTGAGGCTATCGGTATGTTTATAATTAACATTTTACATTTCTGACTCATGCATATAGCTTTCTCATGTTCCTTTCTTTGCCCTCTGAGTACTGATTTCATTATGATGCACAGAGAGCCACAGTACCTCCTAACGATGCTCATTTCTTATTGTAATGATGGTCTCTTTAGGAGGCATTAATCGACGAGTTTTCACTCCATTTATACAATAAATTTGAGGCTCTTTTATAATGTCACTGCATGTGGAGGTTCTCAATAAGGTGTAAACAAGAAGAGAGGCAAAAGGGAATCCTTCGAGTACTATGAGAGTGGCAATGTAAACACCATGAAACTCATGTGTTGAAATTATCCTTTTTTCCTTCCGACCAGTCAGCTGGTTGAGCAGTATGACACTTCTAAAGAACTTCTGGGAGATACTTTCTTCAAGAAAAATGATTGAAGTAATTTTATTTTGAATCGTTGTTAGGTCTAATTCCTGTTACTTAGGTTAGATTTATTTGTAACTGCATATTTACAGTATGTGTGATTAGTTGGACCCTGAAACCAGTAGATAGCCTGGCTGCTATAAGTCGTGGTCTAGCGCATTGACTGCTTTTGATACTGGAAAAATAACTCAAATGGTCTAACCTAAACTTCCAGAGCAGACCCTTTAGGCCTTGAACATCATTCCCCTGTCAAAATACCCTTTGATGGCCCAGGCACAAAATAAAGCATTGCAAATTGAAGAGTAGTTCGTAATGGAATATTTCTGGCATGTTGTGCTGATACCACTAAAGAACCAAAAGATCTTCAGGCTCTATTTGGTGTTTTATGTGAGCCGATAAGCCGAGTGATGTGTCAGCGCTACTAATTGAGTGCCAGCACCTAGTTGTGTTGTCAATAAGAAGGTAGTCGGCGCCTTTCGTAGCACTTTCTATTTCTGGTTAGCATTGTTTTTTTGTTGCAGCTAGCCCGCTTGACTAGTAAGATAGAAAGTGCCTTTCTCGCTTGTTTAGTAACTCTTTCTATTTCTTTTCTATATATGGAAAGTTGAAAAATTATCATATAATAATCCAGATATTGCAATAGAAAAGAAATAAGGGAGGTTTGTGATGATTTTTCAATCTTTTCTACTAGGTAGAAGGGCATGATCATTTCACAAATTTTTACACTTTTGGGCACTTGTGTTGTAGGGAAACTCCAATTTTATGCCCATGATATTCAGAGTAGTGCTCTCCGCCTCGAGTTATCTAGTAGTAGCACATTTAAACCATTTTTTAAGAGAGCCATCCAACTTCATTATTTTCTGGGATAAGTTGTGTAAACAAACAACAATAAGACCAATAGTTGTAAACCACCAGAGACATCAGGGTTGGCAAGAAAGTGGTTCTGCTGCTTGACATTTGGAGGATCTATTTCTTCTTTATATGCTGG